CGATACAGCTGATTGTATTGGGATTTTGTCAGAATCTGTAAAATAAATAGCTAAATTTAATTTATAGTATCCTTGATCGTTTACATAAATATAAAAATTATCAAAAGGCAAAGAGTATCCAATGAAATTTAACAAAGAGGTGAAGGAGAGGACTATCGTTGAGAAACAGAGGGCAGAAACAGAGGGCGGAGGTATTGATTCTATCAAATGTATTATTTATCCCCGGGGTTGGGGTTCTGTTTAGCGATAAATCAGTTGGGGCGAGGGTGACTCAGGATTAGGGTTGTGCTGACCAGTGGCCGCCCCCGTGTATATATATTGTAGCACCCGAGGCTCATTAACAAAAACCCAATCCAGGAGGGGCATCTGTCGATGGCCAACAGCGGACAATCGGATAATGACCTCTGTTCTGCTTAGTCAACCGTGTTCCATCCGGGGCCCTTTGAGGGCACTCATCCATTCCGGATTAGATCTACATTTGGAGAAAAAATGGCATGGACCACTCCAGCTCGTTATTCGTCGGCGTGGGCTTATATACCACTTTGATAATTGCCACTCACGGAATCCAGCTGTGAGGCTTAAGCGAGCACAACTGAACAGTGTTCCATACAATCTGTACAAATTGGACTGAAGCACATATGGGAATAACTTAAATAAAATTAAGCCATATTTAATTAACCTTAAAATAAAAAACATTAATAACGAAGAACACAAGAAGTTGACCTAGCCCAGGACTGCCCGGTTGCGCCAGCAAAATTTTTTTTGGCGGCTTTATTGTTTTTTGAGGGGATCATATTTCATCGGAGTTATGAATTTTCGGAATGAAAAGATTCAGAATATGTAATTGTATACGATCTGTTTTTAATAAAAGTGAGCAATAAAATATCTTGGGGGAGGCGGAGGGAGAGAAGTAGGTTCTTGCGCCATCGACATTGGGGGGGAGAGGGGAGAGGGGATGAGCACCGCAGATCTAGCTAATGATGATAACCCACATCCATGGGTCGAAACGTCGGAAAAACTTAGTAAACATCCTTACTGCATTTCTTAGGAGGCGGGGTGGCCGAATGGGCTAGTTGCCCGGCAACCTGATACATGAATATAACTAGATTAAAATAGTCATGAGTTCGCGCCCCGGTGCCGAGAGTCCTTTAAATCCCCGCCCTCACTCTCTGGCCCGGGATAACCCCGTATACCCTTAAAGACGAGGAAGGGAAGAACCCCTCCCCCCTCCCCCCTCCAAAACAGATGACTGTATTTCTTAACTATTTTTCATCCTTACATTTTCAACAATCAATTATACATCCAACTCTATAATATTAATATTTTTTTTATAACTTCAAAATCCTTATTTTTCCCAGCAGTACAATAAATTGATGCTATTTCATTATCTTCCTACCGAAAAATATATATTTTGATCACAGTTCTTGTGAATAATCTGATACCCATTTATGCGAGGAATAAACCAAAAAGCTGTCCATTTCATTTCTTAAATTTCATGGCAAAATGTATTGTTTACGGATATTATTTAATGCTCAAAAAAATTTTTTAAGCCTCAATATACCTTCATGCGTTTTTGGTACCCCTTGCTTGCTTTAAACAATTAACAGTAATATGAGTTCCTGCTCATAAATGAATTGTATTTAAAGAGGAAACTATCCAGTTAGAAATAAAGGATTCTGAAATTTTCCTTTAGATTTCAGATATTTCATTAAGTAGCTCTAAACAGCTATATTAAAAAGATATCCCTTGATTGCACCTGGATTGATGCAGGTATGGGGAATAGTGTGTATTGCCCTATTTAAATACACTCAGCAATTATTTAAAAAGCCCCTTTTGTATACAACTAATTGCTAACTAAGTGTAAAAAATAAGAACTCAAATCAAATATTAGTTTACTTACCTTCAATTTCAGACTCCAACTGGGAACTCCTCAAGAAGATAAAGTGTACTTGGCGCAGGAAGCAAGATTCGTGATTGTAATGCCTCGGGCCGAAGCCCCCTCCTCCCAAAATGATAAAATATAACCATGTCTTATGAAAAAAAAATTTAATAATTAACTCTAAAAGTATTATTGTTCGTGTGATTATATTTAATAGTACTTAAAAAATCACTTAAACTCTATTTCATATAGGTAGTTAATTTCTTTTTCTTCATAAGTAATTATCTATATACATTTTAAAAAATCTGGGCTGAAGCTCCCCCAAAACTAAATCCTAAAATTCGCTAGTAAAGATAGCGAATGTCGTGCAATCAAAAATTTACTCGATGGAAGTTAGACATATAAGTTAGGAGAATTAAGCCTTCTTCCAAGGGTAACACATTTAGATGTCATTAGAAAATCCAAAAGATTCAGTACCAATATTCTTCTGAGATGCTGAATATATATCGAAGATTTAATCGGTTGACCAACTCCTTCAAGATAATACAAGATTTACACAGAAGGCAGAAACATGATGTTCATTGTGATGACGTAAGATTAGGTAACTTTGGGACTGTATGAATAATTTTGGGACAGCGGTTGTTTCTGTCTGCAAAAACATCCTTTGCGTAGGCATGTACTGCACTATTACCTAAGGGCAGTTTGGGAACCCTAGTTCACTACACTCCTGCAGTTAGCTTTTATTTATTTCCATTATTTTTTTGTTGTTTTTTTTTTTTCATGAAACTTTCGCTTGAGCCTCAAGAGTAGTGTGTCGCAAGGTATTACATGCGCTGTCCATGCCGACTGAACCAAACAGTGTTCCCACCACGGAATCAACACAAACCAAATTTTACCCGCTCTTCCAAAGTTACCCCATCTTACGGTAATCAAAATCATTTATGCATCATGATGTAAAACACATTTTTCCCTATTGCGATAAATAATATAAATAAGGACTAATAACGGACCTAGACAATGTGGGGGACGAAAAAATAACAGACAATATTTTTAATTTAAAAACAATAACGATCTCGTCTAATTAAAATAAATGTAATTAACTTTTTTTCAATAAGGTTATAAATTTAATTTAATTTTAATAAATGTTCCTCTGGGTATACCACTGATCAGCACCGTTGGTGGAACTATGAGGGAGGAGGCGGTTCCGGGGGGTTGATGCCCCACCGAAAGTATTATTTTTATTTTTAAGTAATATTATTTTTTACCATTTCTATTTTTTAGAATTATACCGCTACTAAATATAACCACATCTTATGAAAAAAAAAAATCAAAATATTATCTAAAGTATTTTTGTCCGTGTGAATTCATTTATTTTTACTTGTCCTTCAACAATCATTTATATGTCATTTCATACAGGTAGTTACTTTATTTCTTTTTCTCTCAAAGTAATTATCGTAATAAGCTTTGGGGCTGAAGCCCTCCTAAAATTTAAATCCTGGATCTACTTCTAATGAGCACCAACATTATAAAACATGATACCAATGTATCTATATATTGATATCACATATTAACACTAAATAGGTTTTATTCATTAATTAAAAAAGTAACATAGACAAATAGTATACTCACTGTTATGCAAGAAATTAATAATTGAAATAATTATTATATACCATTATTATTATTTTCGAGAATGATATTGTTATCCATAATGTTAATTGAATTTCCGTTTTAAAATATAGCTAATGTAACGAGTAATTTGATTTATTTATTTATATATAAATCTAGTATCTCTTTCCCACAATATCGAAGAAAATCATCAAAATTTTAAGGTTTCTTTTGACTATTTAGGTTCATAATTGAACATATGCAATATTAATATTATTTGACAGGATAAGATTACTGTTTATGTCAAAATTAAAATAGTGAGTCACAATTACGATCCTTTGTTTAGATAGATGAAACTAATACTTATATATAACATCTTTTATTGATGATTATTTTATCTTATATTAAATACTGTGATAGAATAAAATAAAGTAACTTTTTATTGAAATAAAAGATAAATCATCCATTAAGAGCTTAAAATATTCTGTTTCCACTGTCATCAATGGAACAAAGGAAATTAAAAATCATGTTACTGCTTATTTACACACATTTATTAAATCAAAATGAAATACAAAATAAATCAACTGGGACACATTTCCCGTTAGAAAAATATTACTGAGGACAATTAATGCAAAGATTAAACACTCCTCTGAGAAAACCCTTATTAGTTCTTAGAATTAAAATATTTTTCACAACACATTATATACACCTTTCATGGATAATTGATAACACTGCTCAAGAAATCTGGTGTGACCTGATATGTTTCACTTTTTAACATTACCGAGTTATCAGAAATATATGCTTTTTGCCAACATTTATAACATTAAACTTTTATAATTACTAAACTAATATATATATATATATATATATATATATATATATATATATATTACAATAAAGTAGAGATAGTATTGAGAAAAATTTTAAAATTGTGAGTAAACTTATATAAATAACTCTATGAACGTAACCATTTACTAAAAACAACCACTCATGCATAGATGTGTTTTCAAAAGCTATATACACAAAACCCGTTTTATCCGAAAATATTCGAAAAAAATCGAAGTTAAAATTTGAAAAAAAAAAAAAAAAAAAAAAAATTGCACTTAAAAAAAAATGATAGAACTGCCTTCCCCTCTATTAAGTTGTATCATGTTCTTCCTTGGCACATCTTACAAATATATTTTTTTATGCATTTAATTTAATAAGCACTAAATAAATTTACCATGATATTAAATTTAAACATATTTTGTACATAAAGATCATATAAAGTATATCTATATATATATATATATATATATATATATATATACTCATCGTAGTACTTAATTGTATTGATTTGATTTTTCTTATGCTGCTAATGTCAGTTAAAATTGAGTTCTTAAAAAACTCAACTTGAAGCGACATAAATTATAAGAAGAACCATTGAAGGAAGCTATTCGACTGTTTTACAAATTATGAGTGATAAATATTCAGGACACAGTCTTTTTAAAAAAAATTTTTAAGGCTGCTTACTGAATATTTATCACCCATTATAAGGACCATTTAACTGTGCAATTATTATTATTTCCTTCTGAATATATAATATTAAAAGGTAACATAATTATTTTGAATAAATGTAAATTTTTAAATATCTGGTTGTTCATCTTTTTTCCACCATAACATATTTCATATGTTTAGACTCTATTTCCTATTAAACAATTTTACATTTTATGCTATAATACACATGACTAGACATAAAAACTACATACATCTGAAAATAATAAATTAATAGTCTAAATGAGGATATAATTATATACAAAAACCGTCATTAGACACATATTCTCTGGTGGGGTAACGAATTTCGGATTTCCTTTAAAAACAGGAAAATTCTACAGAATTCTCATTAGATAAATAATGTCTATTGTTTAGGAGTGAGATGTTCTGGCTATATGAATAAAGAAAGCAACCTTATCGGTAGTTTGCTGCCCACACATATTACACTTATAGGGATCTTCATAACCATGATAACCCATATGCATGGTATACATTATGACGTCTTTGAATGAAATGTCGCAATAAGTGCAACTATAGTCATTTTTTGGTTCTGTCTTCTCTGACTTCTGTTCACTGTCTGCTTCACAGGACTTGATTTCTGGCAACTTTACTGGCTCTGAGACCACAGGTGGAGGTGGTGGAGTTGACTGTGGCAAGTCTGCCTGTGGTTCGTTGTCATCAGATTCTATTTGATGTTGAAGACGAAGCGTAATTGTATCAAGTTTGAAGGCCTTTCCTTTTCTTCTATTTTTAACAGGAGCTTCTTGATTGCTGTCTTCAACCATTGGCTCAGGACAACTTAAATCAAGAGGAACCTTTTCTTCTTTGACATCTTTTTCAATATTATTGTTTCTCTCTTCCATGTTCACATCTTGAGAAAAAGGAAATGCTCCAAATCCGTTAAGAATGTTGTAATATGGCATTTGAGGTGGTAATATAGAATAGGGATGGAAAAGATTAGACACATGGGGTCGGTGTCGTTTTAGGTCATGTTTAGGCTTCTGCTTTGGACCACGCCTCGTTCCATAGACATCTACAATTGGGAAAGGGTTAGGGGAACCATCAGGATTTAGAACCATGGCTGGATGGTGAGTGTATTTTCTCAAATGCAGCTTCAAACTATGGCAATATTTAGTTGCATAAGTACAATCAGCACATCTAAATTGGTAGACATTACTGTGACTTTTTAAATGAGAATTAAGCATTGATTTGTTTACGCAAGAATAGGAACATTTGTCACATTTAAATGGTTTTGATCCAAAATGATTCCTTAAATGGTATTCCAAATGGTGTTTGTACTCAGTCACGAATGGACACTTGGGACAAGTTAATAAGCGCTCCTGTTTGATATGAGTACGAGAGTGCTCCCAGAATTCTAGTTTTGTCACAGCGGAAAATTCACACTGTTTGCACCGGAACGTTTTGACTTTTCCCTGCGAATTGACTTTAGGAGTGTTGAGCTCATCATCTCCCCAGTTGCTGTCATCATCGCAGTCATGGGCATTTCTCATATGTTCTTTCAATTTTTCACTGGTTTCTCCATTGAAATCACACATAGAACATTTAGTTTCATGGGACAATAGGTGCTCATTAAACTGGGATCTGTAATGAAAATGAAAAAAAAATACATTAGCGGGAGTTCTTTTTAAAATACATATATTTTTAATAGTTAAAAATGCTGAAATTTTTTTTTTTTTTTTTTTTGTTGTATGAAAATATGTGCAGAATACTAGATTAGAATCATATTAACCAAACGAAACAAAAACAACACTGAACTAAGAAATTTTTAAGTTTGATTTAATATTTATGTAATATTTTATATCTTGATATATACAAGATACTATTTTTTCACGCATTATAAATTACTTAACTTTGGCCGATTAAATACATGAGATTGAAATAAATTTTATATTTGATGGAGACACAGGAAAATTATCCCAAGGGCCCATGGTTTCTCTTTATGACTGATCCATGATTAGGTAATGGAGATCTAGACAAAAGCTAAGTTTCATAATTATGAGGACAAAACAGAAGTGCCCAAAAGGGGTTTCAAAGCGCAAGTTGTGACATCAAAATTTTTGAGGGGGGCACATTTTGATGGGGTATTAAATATTTGAGGGGGAAGCAAATTTCAATGGGGTTATGAATTTTTGGAATGGAAAGTTTCAAATCAGGGATGAAGGGAAAACAGGAAACGAACTGCAGCAAATATAATTGTAGATGTTCTACAATCATTTAAATTTTACTTTTGTTTGCACCGTTATTAAGAAGAGCAAAACAATTAAATTTCTTGAAAAGGAGAGGGGAAAGGTTCAACCTTGAGGAGATGGGCACCCCTGGGACAAAATATAATTTTTAATTCCTAATTTATAATAATTAAGTCTTAGAAAAAAACAAAACATTTTTTTCAAGTTGAATCTAGAAATGTCATTTCATTTATTTGAATGAATCATTTAATATTCTCCTTAATAGTATTATGAATAGAATTTGCATATTAAGTCTTTTCAGTGGTGTTGTTGCTCCTTTGTTATTGTTTTTGTTGGCTCTATTTTTGTGCCCTCCTTACCTAACACTGCAAGAGAATTCGCAGACAGGGCATTGCAGCTTCTCTTCGGTGATCATCCCATTCCTATGAAGGGCCATTTGAAGCCTCTTAAGGGAGTCCCCGCTCTCATAGTACTCCCCTTCAGAGTTGGAGCTGCCCTCTTGCTTCTCCTGCGGCGAGGGGGTAGAGGCGGGGGGCGTGTCCTTGGGGGGCGTGGCGTCGCTGTAGGCGTTCGCTGGGGGGTATCCCTGGAAGGGGGGTGGCGTCAACGGCAACCTGCTGTCAAGGGTTATCTGTCCGTACTCCGTGTCCTCGCGCGGTTCCTCTTTCTGGAAAAAAAAAATAAGTTTTAAGATTCATATAAATTGAAATATAATTAGTTATTAATATATTATCAAAATTGTTATAGGAGAAGTATTTTTAACTACTTTTTTCTTCTTCCTAAGTATAGTTTCTTTCTTCTTCGTAAAAATTGAGGTTTATATTAGGGATGGCCATCCAAGGTCGTTGGCGCAAGAATTTACCCCCTCCTCCCAAGATATTTATTGCTCACTTTTCTTAAAAACAGATAAAGCTAAGGTAAAATTAGAAAACTCGTAGATCATATACAATTACACTTGTTGGAGTCTGTTCCATGTATTCCTCTTGTCTTTTAGTTCGTAAATTCAAAAATCCGTCAAAATATGCCTATCTCAAAAATGTTGGTGCTGCAACTTGCGCCATGAAACCCCCTCTCAGCACCACTGGTTTATATTAATTAATGCAATTTTTGACGTTCAGTGAATCAAAAAATACTTTTTAAACCAAAATTTATTGAAAAAATCATTTTAATTATTAATTTTCAGTTTATTTTTAATTATTATAACAATAACCAGACAAATTTTATAAAACATTATAATAAAATATATCAGAAAACAATTAAATAAAAACTTAAAAAAACAAAACGAAATAAACAAATAAAAAAGGTACCACCTAGTTCAGTTTAGAATATACATAAATTAACAAATACGACGAAAAAATTTAAATATCTTGGAGTAATCGACAATCATAAAAATATATATTAAATTTTAATAACGTTATGAACTTATTTAATTCATTATGTTTTTGCTATCATCCACATATTCCTAATTATGCTTACCATATAATTCATAATGTTTCTATTACTTAATCTAATTTATTTATAAACCTATTATTTTTTACTTTCACTTACGTATATATGTAATATGTAATATATAGAAAGGGTAAGTTTTGCGATCGTGAAAATTTTAGAATATCAGTTTTCAACGGAAATACATGTTTTGAGGTCCCCTGAGTCTAAATAACCAAGTGTCGCAAAATGGGTCTGTGTGTGTGTGTGTTAACAGTCTAGCTCATAAACGAAAAGTAGTACGAAACTGATATTAAGTATTTAAGATTTGTATATGGGCCGGATGTGACAGCAACTTTTTCGTTAAAATCGGCTAACCGGAAGTGCCACTTTATATCAACGCTGAAACACATTTTTACAGTTTTCCCAAAAATGGCTCTAACGATTTTGATCAAACGCGGAGTATCATTGTATAATTAAGTGGTCTTGTATAATATCATTTAGGTCTTATCCCCGTTGATGTCACTTTACAGGTCTTAAATGCCCAATGCTCATATACGTCTTTCTCTAAAGTACCTTTCATATGGTTGATTTTAAAAAGATTATCATTTGACATTATTCAGAGTAAAGAAAAAAATGCTAAATATAACTTTTGAAGGATTCTGGTAAGTTAATAAGGGAGAAAAAAAAATAAAAGTGCTGAAAAACCTGTGTTGCTCTAGACTGTAACGCCTAAACGAATGTACCTATTTCAATGAAACTTAGCTAATGTCATTTTATCGATCCCCTTTAAACTTATCTATATAACTTACTTCAACGAAAAGAAGCTGGAAAAAAAGTTACGAGGGATGTTAAAATTAAATTCCTAATAACACAAAAAGTATACACTTTTTTGGGGATTTGGTATGTTTTTTTAAAAGTTTATGGAATTTCCTAAAAAAAAAAAAAAAAAAAAAAAAAAAATGTCGGTAAAATCGGACAATTAGGAGGAAATATATGGTCTATAGTTTTTTTCCCTTAAGAGGCGAAAATTTGGATAAATTTAAAATATACTTTTTTAATTGTTGAGACTACAAAAAATTTTTGTGTCTTTCCTGTGAAAAGTGTCTTTCCTAAGAACATATTTCATAAGAAATAAGTACCTAAATTTATACCTTTCTCAGTTCTATATATCAACACTGTAATCACCACCTTTGGAATCAACTTACTCATTGTCTGCATAGATAACTTTTTCAACTAAAAATATCACTAAAATGACATTACTCAAAAATGTTGAAATTGGAGTTAGTGATTCTGTGGTTTATAAAAGCAAAGAAAGTTGTGTGGTTTATAAAAGCAGAGGGAGTGATTAGATTTTTATTGCCTGTCGTCGATATATTAAATAGACATTTTGTAATTATAATGGTCTTAATGACTTGTTATCTGTAAGCTTTAAGCTTTAGCTCCGTTTAAAATGCACTTCAAAAAATTTTATAAGAGCCCAGCATTGCCGGAAAATAATTTCTATTCAAAGTAGATCGGTAAGTGAAAGTTGTGTGTTGCGAGCACCAGATTTTTTAAATTTATACTAATAAAGAAGTTTTTCTTTTATCTTAAGTAATTCCTGTTCTATTTCGAATTAATAGTGAGAATGTAAGAAACCAGCTTAATATACTACATAAAAGAACATTAATTCGAGTTAGACTGACAACATTTATTTTATGCCCTTAAACTAGTGGATTAATTCTGAGCCAAAGTTAGACTCGGGTTAAATGGCACATCTCTCTCCTCCCCTCCCAAAAAAAAATAAGAAACAGTACTTGCTATACTAGTGTATTAGCATATCTTAAGTAAAATTGGATTGAGATTGCCTATTTTACACGTTACCTGTGGTTACGGTCCCCGAGTTCCCATATTCGTCTCGATTTCGGCAGGGATTGTTTCGAATTTTTTCGAAGTCTCAAAAATGGTCACTTTAAAAAATACTTTACTGGGAGTTTGATCGATGTACAGATAAATACAAACGTAAATAATCATTATATATAATAAACGCCGGGGACCGTAACCGCATCTAACGTGTTAATACATTTTTTAATCCAATTATATAGGATATAATAATATTCTTTACAATTATAGAAATTAATGATTACAACTAAGTGCTATAAAATTATAATATATTTAGCATATTATAATTATATATTTCGGATAACTCGAGACTCAAACTGCTGTTAACGAAGTAATCCAAACGTTTTGAGCTAGAGTTGGGGTGTCAAATCGAATGTGCAAGGCTCGATTGGGAGATTTTGATAAAGCACTCGAAAGAACAATGAGTTTTTAAATTTTTTAATATAAATTTTGAAATTGAAAACAAAATTTTATAGGGTTCTTTCTGGAATGAAAGAATATTTTAGTCATTGCAGGTTTGATGTAGACGACAAAATTAAAATCACAGTATATGCATTTCTTTTTTTATGTATTAACAATAATTTGTCAACTGTTTTCTTGAGGTTATGTTCTAAAATTTATGAAAAAGTTAAAAATGATTATTAAACGAGCGCCGATAAATAGAATATAAATAATTATTGTGAAAGTTGCAAAGTATAACGGTGCTAGAAGAACTGTAAATGGCATATTTTATCATTAGAGGCCGCAGTAAGGTTAGGCAGTGTTAATGGAGGCCGCGATAATTCTTTGTATTTTACCGTTGTTTTTTTATTTGTCACTCAATACACACACCCATGTATATATATTCAACTTAATTATATTAATTTCCAAATAGTTGTTACTTAAATAATTAAATATTAATTAATGCTAGCATTATATTAATATATATTGCGCAAAAACGTTTGGAGGCCGCAAATAAGTCTCTGTAGCCGCGGTTCCCCATCCATGGTATACGCTTTACTATTATAGATTGCATCTTATTACTGAAGTGAAGTGAATATTTCCAAATCTAAGTTTATGTTAATCTATAATCTAATTATAAATATTAAGATGAAAACTATGAATTAAATTTAATAGGTATATTTATTTATACTTACAACGACTGGAGCTGGAGTCGAGGAAGCCATCCAAGGATGATGGTCCATGTTGGGGAAGACAGAGTGCCTTGGCTCATACTGCACGGCAATGTTCATCCTCGAATTGTTGAAGTATATATCAGGGGTTACAACCATCTCATTCCAACTGAAATTATAAAATAATTAGTATAATTATTTCTTATGTATATATTTATTTAAATCTATGCGCTAAAGTTTTTTTTTCTTATTTGTTAATTAAAGTATTCCTAGAAACTGTAAAATATAGGGGGTTAAGAAGTTTGGGGTAGGACTCCACCTGTGTTTAACGGTGTTCAAAGAATTTTAGTGCTTTATGACTATTTTACGACGAGCTCCTTGCAAGGACTGCCTTCCATAAATATTCAGAAGTTAAATTATAATAGGCAAAAAGGGTGGTTTTCTGAAAGGGTGGGGATGCTCTAGGGGGCTACTGGGCTTCAAGACCTTAGCACATTTTCTAGGATAGAATAAAGAAGCATTCCAAGAAATACTCTACCCTTTTGAGGTTGAACTGATGTACCTGGGAGGTAGGAACTGTAACAAAAACCGGTACATTCGAAGCCCGTAAGCAATAAAGCGGATAATTTTGAGAAAACAGTTACGACACGAATATTGAAATAGTCATGGAGTATCATAAAATGGCATTTCAATGCTGATTAGCGATTTTGCTTAATCATAATACATGGTTTTAGGAGATACCTAGAAAATGGAATATACTTGAAAAGATAGAAAAGAATGTGTTTTGTCGTTGAAGGAAAATAGACAAAGAAACTAGACGGCCAATATAAAGTAAATAAATACAAACTAATAATAAATTTAAAAAAAATGACCATATAACTACAACCATAAAATGGAGTTTAATATATGAACTAACACAACTGAAAAAATACTTACACAGTATTAATAATTAAAAAGATATATTAGCAGTCCTTACGTGTCCTTATGTTTACGTTTCGTTTGAAATATTTTTTTCCAGATCAGTATCAGAAACAGTCATCTTGAATTTATACTTGTTTCATATATCAACAAAATAATTTTAAATATTTACATCGCTTTAAAATAATTATTTAATAAACTAACATTCATTCAATATTTTTAACCATGACGTTATTTAGAACTTACGCACTCATTGATCACGAATAAAAAATAAAATTCTACTTCCGACTTTTATTGATATATTGTCTTTTATTCAAATTTAATTTTGCCATTTCGGATTTTATCATTGATGCTTTAAAGTGAATTAGAGACAGAGGTATACCTGAGAAGAACAAACTTTAACACTTGTTCGTTCTGTTAATCTGACTACCTGAGGAATTGTGTTATTACACGTAATAAGTAATATCATTACAATTAAGTAAGGTAGGTATAAAGAAGGTACCTACCACGGCTAAGACCAATATAAATAAATTTATCATAATTTGATAAAAAATGGCTTTCACTAAGAATTTTTTAATTACGTACATATCTTATGGGTTTGGTAATCAATTAATTAATATCAACTAATCAAGCAATATTAAATATAGCTATGAATATTTCATGGTTTTTTTAAAATTAATATTATGATAAAAACTTTTTTTATATACATAAAAAGATAACCAGAGCGAGATACGAAAAATACAATACAAATTGTTTGGGCATAAATCTATTAATACCTAGTAAAGTTCTTCGGCAAACTAACAAAATAGATACGGTATAAGTGAATACCAAAGCAACAAACCCATACTTCGGAGCAACCAAAGCAAACTAATTCCGGTTTTATCCGGCAAACCAAAGGTTCAATACCGAAACATAAGGCCCTCAGAAAATAGAAATCGATGGGTTGGAAAAGGTTTTTATTACATAATGGACGTTGTCCTGGCAGAGAAATGAAAGAAATGGCCCGTACCAACTTTCAAGGCTATTTTTTTCTTTTTTTACTCGAGAGGTTTTTGCGTAAGGGCCTCTTCATTGTGCTTATTGACAGTGGTCACTTCCTAGCCTCTGCGTAGGCAGGAGGAAAAAAAAAAGAGAGAAAAAAATAGGGGCGCACGGCGCAGGCCGAAACTTTCTCCCGTCTCTATAGGGGTTGTTTTTACGCAATGCTTTTATTTTACTCAAAAAAAGAGAAAGCATGGCCTACATTTTAACAAAGTAAACGTTCTTCGAATGCGGGTATATTTCACATATTGTCAAGAAAAAATAATAATAAAGATAAGACAGTCCGCATGTAAATAGAAACAACTCAAATAAAAATGATATATATTTTTTTTTCAAGGCGGAACAACGGAACAAATCTCTACCTTACTTTGGGTAGAATCGGTGTAATTGTACCTTTAGAACAATCTTTCGTATGGCAGAAATGGCGGGGTAGGGTTAATCTTACAAATACATCTCAGAATGGATAGCCAAATACTGATAATAAAAAACAAGTCAGTAAAAATAATGTTTGTCTTTAGGATCAATGAAGAAACCCTGACAAAAATTAGTAGAATCAGAAAAACTGGCCTGGAACCATATCTTAAGAACTACCTACCTCTAAGGGTGGTCGGTGGAAAAAACAGCAAACCAACGATGCTGACCACATAAAGAATAATGGACAACGAAATGCTGTTGTTTTTTTATTTATTTATTTTTTAATAAAAAGGACCAAGAATTCAAATGGTCCAGCTTAAAAAAATATATATCAGTAGCAATATCTACTATACTATTACATAAGGACAGCGGTTGGGAACAATAAATTTTACTAGAACGGTCCTAAAACCCAAGACCAGCTACCAGACCGTCCTTCAGGGAAGTTGTAAATCTCATGCGTACCTCTTTTGAAGAGTGACCCAAATATCTGCATAAAGTAAACAACACGAGTTTTCTCTACTTCCGCAAAGTTGGACTTGTTAAATATAGTTTAAATAAGAAATTCTCAAATAATGAAGATATAAAAAATCTAAAAAAACATGTTTTAAAGTTAATCTAAAAAATGTTTTAGTACTCTATAAGCGACAGCTCGCAACTATGTTTTTTATTCAAAATAAAAAAGATAATAAAAAAAAATATAAATAACAAAAGATACAAGTTTAAAAATAATTGTGCACAAAATTTAAATATAAAATACAAATAAATCAATTGTATGAAATGTGTTTATTTATTTATTTTTTTAATAGAGTAAAATCTAGGATTTTGAACAGTACCTTGAATATAATCTACTTTTTTTTATAGCTTTGAACCAAATATAACGATATAAAAAATAAATAAAGGAATTACTAATAAAGAAGATAGAATGTACAGTATATTCGACAAGGGATATAATTATAAAAAAAAAAACAGAATTACAAGAAGTGTTAGTAATAAATAATAAAACGGCTAAAATTTCAAATAACTGGATTGAGAATTATAATTATGACTTAAAATCATTATGAGATTGGCGTGTCATAATAGGGATCAATAACATTATGGTAACCAAGGCAATGAATTGGGGCGTAGGATATTGGAGGGGAAGATAAAGTGAGTTTGGAGGGATAAATTGGAAAAAAATGGTATCAGGTAAAAAAAGTCCTATAAATTAAGAAGGGCGTCTGCATTGTATTCGCTAAGGAGATTATTGGACCTTAATTGCGCTTTGTTCATGAAATTTGTTTGAAGAAATAACTGTAATTTTTTCTTTGCCTTACGGAGACAAGAAACTAAGGAGACCAGATCGTTGTTGTTTTACGATTAATTAGGAATTTTAAAAAATAAACAATAGGTTTAACAGTCGAAAAACGTCCAAACCCTATTGAAATAATCGGATGAAGAGGAGACAATAAATGCCACAATATTAATCAGACAAATTTCAAATAGTTGATTAAACAAATGAGAAGCAATTAACCAGTTGAGATTTCATTTGAAGAAATGCTGGAGGATGACACTAAAAATAATATTTATATCATCTTTGAATTAAAATACTCCTAATAATATAATTCTTACATCAAAAGCGTAACAGATATACGTTAAAAATTTAACGTATATTTTTATCTGGGAAATGTAAATAACATATCACAGTCCTAGAAAATATCTTATAGGACTATATAAAATATAGAAAATAGTCAAGCTCAAAAAGGATTTTACTAGGAAAAGATTGTGTCGGTTATGTAAAAAGGGTGGCGGTGTATAAAAAAAATGTGTGTGGATGGTTTGCCTTTTCTTTAATCTTCCGACAAAGACTACAAAAGCCGAAATACAACATAAAATGATAAATGAAAATATTGACCTGGGCTTCTTTCTTATTTACAATGTCTTGTTCAATAGCCTAACTTTTAGAATTATTTAATTTGAATAATTTAAATTATTCGAAAATTCATAATAGGACATCTTAAAATATCAACGTTCCGTTAAAAAAAAAAAAAATGAAATTGTCAATTAAAAATAGTTATAGACATCAACTTAAAACAAAATATAATAATAATAATAGTTTTAAAGCATAAATTGTGCAACTTTGTCACTTTTATATCAAAGGTGATATAAGGTATTCACGATGGTATATAGCAATGGAAATAATAAAATTAATTATTATGTGTTCATAACTATTATTTTTCTTGTGATGTTTTTAAACTAATATATTGAATATAACCAACAATTTAAAAAATATGTAAAATATTTAATAGTAGAGAAATAATTGGCTGTAGATAGAAAACAATCATTTCATTTTATACAAACGTTTCGGCCTAGATTTCAGACATAATATAGTTTTAAAGTGAAACAAGTAATATATTTCTTATTTTACTTATATCGTGCATGGTGAAATACTTGACATCGCCTTAGGCGATTTGCTGTACAACAAAATCAAATAAATCTGTTGAAAGCCTTAAGCTTAGGCCGAAACGTTGGCATAAAATAAAAATAAATACAAATTTCCCTGTGGCTGCAATATATTAAAATTTTGACCAGATTACGTTTTGATCTAGATATGCAAATAATGTTACGTAAGTTTTCTTTTGTAATTCAATAATAAATATATAAGTGATGGTTTATGCTCAGATATTGATAATTAGATTAAAATTGATAACTACATCTTTTATCAACTAGCTGCATTATGAAATGAATGGTAGGGAAGTAGATATAAATAAAAATAACAGTTCATCATATTAATTAAGTCAGAATTAAATATCATAAAAA